CCCCCCCGTCCGCGCGCTTCTTTCCCCGCCTCTGTTCAGTGGGCTTAGCGACTCTGAGCGCTGCGCAGAAGCGGGGTTGTGGGGCAGCTCTCACCAGAAACTCAATAGGCAGATCGTGGGCCAAGTCTGCGCCCCCAGATGTTTTTAAATAAGTCACAAAGTCTTGTTATCATTGTGGTGGTGGTGGCGGCGTGAAAAATGTTTCTCTGGAGAGTGGACCTTGACTATACCTTGATCAAGAAATTTAGACCTTCACCAAAAAAATTGGAAGCGGGGTTGTGGGGCAGCTCTCACCAGAAACTCAATAGGCAGATCGTGGGCCAAGTCTGCGCCCCCAGATGTTTTTAAATAAGTCACAAAGTCTTGTTATCATTGTGGTGGTGGTGGCGGCGTGAAAAATGTTTCTCTGGAGAGTGGACCTTGACTATACCTTGATCAAGAAATTTAGACCTTCACCAAAAAAATTGGACCCTACAGGGAATGGATAGAGGGACCTAAGTGCTTTCATGGTTATTTACCCCCAGTCCTGCCTCCACTTGTGTGTATCTCTGATCCTAATTACCTGGTTCAGACACTGACTCCAACAGCCAGGATCCCTGCTTGGTGGGTAAGGAGCTTCCGGGGTATTGGAACAATTTGTACAGAGTGCATCTTGAGAGCCACTGAACCAAATTGTAAACCCTTCCTAGGATGGAAAACCACTTCAAGGCAGGGGGATGCAGCTGTACCCTTAGCAGTGCTAGTTTGTGCACCTCTGGGAGCTGCTAATGTCTGTCACCAAATAGTCTTGTTTGTCTGGACTTGGTTGAGGCTGCTCTGGTGGAGACTGGAACTCTCTGAAATCTGGGACATGGTGGGATTGATTCCTCTAGGAGGCTTCTGCAGTGGGGCAGGGGGTCTCTTCCTGCTGTACATGCCTGGCTCTTCCCTTGCACAGTGGGCACCACAAAGCAGACTCCTCTCTGAACTGCAGATGAATTGCAGGGGAAGCCTTTACATATATCTCTGAGCTCTGGGAGCCTTGACCCCCATTTGGATTTTGCATCAGGAGCTGCTTCTGAATGGGGCAGGCAAGAGTGCCTTGGAACTGCCTGGCCTCTTCGCTGTGGTGAGGAGAGATGAGTGGGACTGGGCAGGTGATGTGATAGTGAGTGTGCTTGAGAAGAGAGGGAGGAAGAAAGGGTTAATGGGGACTGGTGAAGGGTGGAGTTTGGTCCTTAGCTATTAACCAAGCCCCTGAACCCGTGGCCTCCCCTCCCCTAGCACCAGGTTATGAGCCTCAATGACTACGAGAAAACGCCACGGCTCTAAGAACACGCATCAGGGCGTTTATCTGGGACCTTCGCAGACACAGGAGCTGTCCCCATCTGCTACCACAACTGTTGCCTCATCCCTGCCCTTTCCGGACACCATGTCGTGCCGCGATCGCACCCAGGAGTTCCTCTCTGCCTGCAAGTCCTTGCAGAGCAGACAGGTGAGTCTTCATTTCCTGGGGGTGTCAGGCCCATTCCTTGCTAGTGTGGGGGATTCTCTGCTCCAGAACACCTCAGTTCAGTCTGTCTCTCCTTTCAGAATGGGCTGCAGCCGAACAAACCAACCCTGAATGCCATGCGCCAGAGGAGTGAATTCACTGTCATAGCCAAGTGAGTGGGGTGAGGGCTGGACTAGCCAAGATCTGGGGAGGGAGCTCAGCAGCTGGATAACCTGGGAGTATGTTGGGCTGACTCAGGATCAGTGTGCCGGGAAGGGATCTTGTGGGATGGCTATAGGCTGGTTTGCCTGGGTTGGGGCTGAGAGGGGTTTCTCCTTGGGATCAGAGCTGAGCTAAGGAGGAAGTGCTCTACTGATGATTTAGTCAGCAGGCCCCAACTGAGGAAGCACAGATCCCACCCTTACTCTGGTCTCCTGTTCTGTTTCCTCCCAGGCGCATCGGCAAAGATCTCAGCAACACTTTTGCCAAGCTGGAGAAGCTGACCATCTGTGAGTGGCCGGGGAGGGGAGGAGGGAGGGAGGGAGAGGGTGAGGGCTGTCTGGGATATGGGCTCCTTCATGGAGGGGCTGCTGATAGCACTTGGGGTTAACATGGCTTCTTGCTTTTTTATAGCCATTGTGAACTGGAGATTGTCACTCAGTTGGGATGGGCTTTGTGGCTGCTATGGAGCAACAAGGGAGGGTAATTGATGCTGGGCCTGAATGGGGGAGTAGTTCTGACCCTGGGGGCCATGATAAAGCAGGGCACTTGTGGTAGAGGAAAGGAATCCCTGTCAGGCCTCATAGGACACTCCCTGACCATACCCCTCTGTCCTCAGTGGCCAAACGGAAGTCCCTGTTTGATGACAAGGCAGTGGAGATAGAGGAGCTGACATATATCATTAAACAGGTTAGTGGGAGCAGGGCTAGCATCTCCTGGTGGCTGGGAGAGATGGCCTCTTTATTTGGAAGGTGGGATGGGGTGGGCAGGAACAAAAGGAGCTGGAACCTATGAACAGCAGCCTCAGCTGGGTGGGAGCCTAAGGGCCACTGGGACCAGGTGGGGGTGTGGGCCACAACTGAGACTGGAGCAATTTCCCTCCCCCAGGACATCAACAGCCTGAACAAGCAGATTGCCCAGCTGCAGGAGTTTGTGCGGGCCAAGGGCAGCCAGAGTGGGCGGCATGTGCAGACTCACTCCAACACCATCGTGGTGTCGTTGCAGGTGAGAGGGAGAGGGGCTGGAAAAGACAGACCTGGGGAGTGGGTGGCACTCACAGCTGATGAGGACATTGGGGCAGCTCTGAACTGGTCGGGGGAAGGGATTGTGGAGAGGGCTGCTGTTTTCAGCTGGAGTGGAAATTGCCGAGTAAGTACCCAGCTCTCACCTGCCTTTTGACCTTTTACCTCTTCCCTTTCAGTCCAAACTGGCCTCAATGTCCAATGATTTCAAGTCAGTGCTGGAGGTGAGAACAGAGGTAAGATCTGAGTGTCCCTTGTTTTCCCTCCCCTCGCGGGGGGAACTAGCATGCTGAGCGCCTGCCAGCCCCCATCTAACTGCTGCTCTGATCTCTCCTTGCTCCCCTAGAACCTGAAACAGCAGCGGAGCCGACGTGAGCACTTCTCCCGCACCCCGATGTCCACCCTGCCCCTTGCTGCCGGTAATTTGGGTGAGCCCAGAGCCCCTTGGGAGGATGCTCAGAGGAGGGAAGTTGCATACTGTGTGTGTGTGGGGAGGGGAGGGGAAAGGGGGAGAGATGCTGTCCCCTAAGGAATGGAGACAAGCAAGTAACTTCCTATGTTGAGGCAGGGCTGGACCTTGCCTCTCTGGGAGCCTGGCTTTCAGAGACCTGGGGCTTGGCTGCAGGGCTCTCCTGTCTCCAGCAGCCTTGACAGCATTGGCTTCTCTCTGCAGGTGGCTCTGCAATGCTGCAGGATGAGCCCCGGCGGGCAGGGGATGTAGCCATTGACATGGACAGCCGGACAAACCAACAACTGCAGCTGATCGATGAACAGGTGCTGGTGGGGGGGAGATGGGGAAGGCTGTTCTAGAGACAGGATGATGGTTGACCCAGATACTGACTCTCCTTTGCTTTGGTAGGATTCATATATCCAGAGCCGGGCAGACACCATGCAAAACATTGAATCCACCATTGTGGAGCTGGGCTCCATCTTCCAGCAGCTGGCACACATGGTGAAGGAGCAAGAGGAGACCATCCAGAGGTACCAGCTTCATAGGCATGGCTGGGCAGTTTCTTGCTTCCTTCTCTGCAACTTTAGTGGGGGCTTTAGTCCTGTTCCAGCTTGTAATCTTCTGTACCCTTTGGGGCAAGTGTTCTCTCTGCCCCATCCAGAGCCTGGAACTCTTCCTCTGAGGCTTGGCCTGGTGGGTGGAGAAGCCCCGGGGCACTGTCACTCCATTGTTTCCCATCTCTATCTGCAGGATTGATGCCAACGTGGAGGACGCCCAGCTTAATGTGGAGGCCGCGCACTCCGAGATCCTCAAATACTTCCAGTCAGTTACCTCCAACCGCTGGCTCATGGTCAAGATCTTCCTCATCCTTATTGTCTTCTTCATCATCTTTGTGGTGTTCCTGGCCTGAGCTGTCCTCTTGCACCTGCCCTCCCACAGCACCTGGAGCCCCTTCCCTCTCTTTGGCAGAGCCACTTGTGGACATTTGTGCGCCAGACTTAGTTTTCTCCCAGGTGGGGCAGCCTGGTGCCAGAGGGATTCTCGGTCCTCATGCTGTGACCCGTGGACTCAGTTACTGCGCTGGGAACTCCCAAGACTGAGGGGGGGCAAGCAGGTGCTTTGGTTCCCCTATATGAGCGCGCCAGGACCATGCAGCAAAGGGCGCTGACTGTGGGGTGCTGACATCCACGGTGGAGTAGCCTCTGGAGCTGGGACTCTCGCCAGAGCCCACCTCACCTCCTCATATGGGGCTACCCCTCCCCCTATCCTGTGTGGGGGCTCACCAGCTGTCTACAGCCAGGACCAACTGTCCCCTAGTAATTTCCAGGTGTGTGTGGGGAAGAGGTTGCCCCCAGACGTGCCTTTGCCAGCCCTGTGGGGTATTTGGCTGAGTGATGGGTTAGCCTTGTGCCTCCCACTCCCAGTTTTATTTTGTGTATTTAAGTTTCCCTTCTCCCATATCTATGGGGCTGCCCTAAGCACAGAGCCACCCACTCTGCACCCCACCCTGGCCATGTTGGTGCCACAGAAGCTGGGGTGGGCCTTGCCTGTTGGATAGGTGTCTGTAAGGCTCTCAGTGCTGAGGGAGAGGTGGGTGTGTCTTTCTCGCCCCCTCCCCCAGACCCTTGCTGTTGCTCTGTTGCCTAAAGAGCACCACTGACTGGCCTTCCCAAGACTCTCCTGTGGCTGCAGGTGCTCTGAGTGCTGTGCTGAGAGCCCCTGGGGTGGGAGGGGAGCAGCACTGGGCTCTTTGTACCTGAGCTGTGGTTGTGCAGAGGGCATCAGAACTCAGTCACCTCCACTGTGCTCTCAGCAGGATCTGTGTGCACCACCTTCCTGTAAGATCATAGGAGGTGGCAGGCCATGGTGCCCCCCTCTCTGTGATCCTGCTAAACTCCACCCCCTTATGTGATGTTGCCCCTTACAACAGCAGAATGGTGGAGGGAGGGCAGGGGCCTTATTCCTCCCTTGTGCTGGCACTCTCACACTGTGCCCCATTCAACGGTTGATGTAAGCCCTGGCCTAGCCCAGGGCCTTAAGGCCCTGATCATGGTGAGATGACCACTGGGTGTGAGCCTGCTATGACCTTAGCCCTTCTCCCCCCAGGATTCTTTCCCATAATCATCTGGTCTTAACATTCCAATGTGGGTGCTGCCCATTCTAGCTAATAAGAGCTTCTTTGCAGTCATGTGATGGGCACAGGCCTATGTCCAGTGGAGAAGAGGAGGGGTCTGATTTGCCCCTCCCTAGTTGGGAGGGGTAGGTGTAGAGTCAGTCTGGAAACAAATTAAAGCTTGACTGTAACCCAGCCTGCTGTGAGCCATATGTCTCCTGTGGGTTGGACCCTGGGGATGGCATGAGGCTGGGGAGGAGGTATGCCCCTGTTGTCTAGGGTGGGGGAAGTGGAGGGTCATGTTTGCCAACCTGAGGCCTTTCTGTTTTTGTCTCCTACCTTAACAAGCTGTTGGGGGTGACCTTCTGGTCCTGGGCTGAGCCTGCTCATCAGCTGGGGGAGGGGAGATACTAGTGCCACACAGTCTCCTGTAGCTGCATTGAGCTCAGTGTGCCTTCTCCTTCCACCTAGGTCAGCTGGATCTGGGGTTTGGATGGAAGGAAGGGGAGGGACTTGTGCTTGGCTACTGCTTCTAACTGGAAGCTGCTGAGTACTCTCCAAGAGAGGAGGGAAAACACCCCATCCTCCCCTGAGATGCTGGGATGGAGGCAAAAGGGCTGCTGCTAGTAGGATAATTAAGTGCTGATGGATGTGCTGAGCACCAGGAGAGTGCCAGACTGGGAAGGTCATCTCAGGGCATCAGAACCAGGAAGAAGCACATGTGAAAGGAGACACGCCCCTCCCTTGCAGGGGATGGGTGGAAGGATTCCCCAGCTCATTGGGGTTCGCTGAGATTAGTGTCATGACAAGTCCCATAATTCATGGCAAAGTAGGTGCTGCAGTTTCAGGATAACAGCAGCTGTATCCCCTCCTGTGGCCCACCCTGATCTCCAAGTGTCAATGGTCTCTGAACAGAAACTCTTCTCTTACTTCATCCTGACGGGTTTGAAGGATGCACAGCTTTATGCTGTAGTACCTCCAGCAAGCCAGTTTGTCTCAGGCCAGTGCCTTATAACTATGACCAGTGCATTGCCAGCAGCTACTAATCACTATGCTGCTCTTTGAGAACATGCATTCTTTAGGTAAAAGCATGAAGAACGTTTTAGGAAAATGAAGATCCTAGAGGCATACTTACAGTGGAGATCACCCAGCTGTTTTCTGGGGCCCCAGTGGACTAAAATATTTTGAACTGTTCCGCAAGGGTTGGGATCTCCTACCCAGGCTATGTGGCATGGGCAGTGTAATCACTCTATAGCCAAGGGAGAGCTCTCCTCGCAATTTAACCCCCTCCCCATCCCAAATGAGCAGTAGGAGCTGCACTCCAGCTGTCTATACTTATGCTTTTCAGTATGAAAATTTTTATCTGTTGGGGTGTTTTTTCATGCCCCTTACTGACTAAAGTTTTAATGCTGAATCTGGCAGTGTAGACAGCCTTAGGCAGATCTGTCTGCTGGGTCAGAGAAAAGGCCCTGAGTCAGCTTACCTCTTTAGAGCAAAAATCCTTTTTTTTTTTCCTGTTGCTCTCTAGAAAAGCCAAAAGTTACAACCTAAAGTAATTCACCTCACTTGCACCCTGGGTTACTGATTCCTAGAGGAGCTGTGGAACACTTCCTCCCCTCCGCCCCCCACCTGCCCATATAATGCATATACTCCCTGGTCCACAGTAATAAAGCAAGCAATATGTTATGGTCCTCCAAAGATACTGCCTTGGGCATGTTTTGGGGGAATGTGGCTGGTTGTGGATGATGTTTGTGAGGGGATCTCTTGTAGTCTCAAGGATCCTGGAAAGCATCCATCTCACCAGTTGCTCCTCTTCAGGTTCCATGCCTCCCACTTTCTACCCCTAGTTCATTAGTTGATTTGTGGTAGTGCCTTGAAACTACTCTAGGGCACTGTTGTGCTGGTACTGCACAGAGTTGTGACAATCCATACTGCAAAGTTTGCAATAGTACCTATCTCAAAGGGCATCAACAAGATATGGACAAGGAGAATACACTGGCTATAATGTACTTAGAATTCCAGAAAGCCTTTAACAAGGTCCCTCACCAAAGGCTCTCAAATAAGTTGTGTTATAAGAGGGAAGGTCCTCTTATGGATGGATAACTATTTGAGAAAAAGTTTTCAGAATGGAGAGAGGTAACTAGTGATGTCCTGCAGGGATCTGTACTGAGACCAATCCTATTCAACATACCCATAAATGATCTGGAGAAAGGAGTAAACAGTGAGGTGACAAAATGTGCAGATGATACCAAACTGCTCAAGATAGTGAAGTCCAAAGCAGATTGTGAAGAGATTCAAAAAGACCTCACAAAACTGTGACTGGGCAACAAAAAAAAAAAAATTAAAAATTAATGGAGATTGCCTATCTCCTAGAACTGGAAGGGACCTTGAAAGGTCATCAAGTCCAGTCCCCTGCCTTCACAGCAGGACCAAGTACCATCCCTGACAAATTTTTGCCCCAAATCCCTAAATGGCCTCTACAAGGATTGAATTTACAACCCTGGGTTTAGCAGGCCAATGCTCAAACTACTGAGCTATCCCTCCCCCAAATGAATTGGCAAAATGGCAAATGAATTTTAATCTTGGTAATGCCTATTGGAAAAATAATCCCAAATTATATGTACAAAATGATGGTAACTAAATTAGCTATTTCCACTCGAGAGAGAGATCTTGGAGTCACTGTGGCTCATTCTCTGAAAACATCACTCAATATGCAGCATCAGTCACAAAAGCAAACAATGTTAGGAATCGTTAAAAAAGGGATAGAGAATGAGCCAGATAATATCTACCGCTCTGCTCTGCACTGATTAGGCCTCAGTTGGAGTATTGTGTCTAATTCAGGGCACCACATTTTAAGAAAGATGTGGAGAAATTGGAGAGTGTATAAAGAAGAGCAACAAAAATGCTTAAAGGTCTAGAGAACATGAGTCATGAGGGAAGACTGAAAGAACTGGGTCTTAGTTTGGAAAAGAGAAGATTGAGAGGGGATATGTTAGCACAGCTGAGGCCAACCTGAGTCCGGCCTTGCTGCCCAGGTCAGCACAGGGAGCCAGGAGAGGACTGTTTTTTGGGGTGGCTTTCAAGTCATGGGTGGGTGGGTGTTTTGTGAGCCACATCCAGCAGGGCTGGACTGAGGCATGGGCGAGCTGGGCAGCTGCCCGGGGCGCCAACCGATGGGGGGCGCCTGATGGCAGCTGTAAGGGGCGCGCGGTGTCCCTTATAGCTGCCATCAGTCGCCTTACACCTGGCTCCCACAGCGCCGGCCCCCGGCGGCTGCCCGTAGAGCCCTTTCTAC